CAGTGAGTTGGGTTTGGGTTCGGGGCTGCTCCGAAGGAACCCTGGTGACACAATGGTTCATTCAGTCCTCGGCTAACTGAAAGGTTGGGAGGTGGAGTCCACCACCTGCTCCCAGGGCGAAAGACGTGACAGCCGCTCCCTTAAAGACGACAGCCTTCGAAACCCTGGGGGTGGATCTTCACTATTGAATGGGATCGGTCCAAGTGGGTATGGATTCAAGAGCAGAGTCCTTGGGTTTGTGGGACACCCGCTTCTCTAATGTTGCTGCCTTGCTACCGGCCAGCTTGGCTCCTAACACTCATTCTCCAAGCTCCAACTCTCCCAGCAAGGCCACACTTTTCTGGTCAACAGATTATCTGCAGAAAATGTCAAGAACTCTTGATTGACAAGCCTAAAGTAGAAACAGAGCAGGAAGTTTGCTACAGTACTCTCATGGCTAGAATTTTCATATCAGAAGAAAGAGTTCATACTCCTTGTTCCTCAGGGGTCCGTCCCCTTGAAGGCAGAGACAACACTTAGGTTGACTTTGTAAACAACCAGTAACAGCTCGGGGCCTTTCAGCTTGAATTGTGAAGGCCTTTTTCTCATTTTCCTGAAGAGCAAAACGTGGCATTTAAAAACAAAACAGAAACTCTTCACAAAAAGTCTGGTATGGTTGTCAAGGGACTTAGCAAACTTTGTCCAATAAGTGAACCCCAAATTAAACCTAGGTTTCTTTTGTAAGGTTTTCTCTTTGATGAGGGTCAGCTACTTCCTGTGCTCCAGAGAACCCTTACATGTTTATAGAGACCCTAGTTTTTAAAAACCACATCAACAAAAAACCTTCTCAGAGATCAAATCCGATGTGACATCTTTCTAATTTAAAACATCACCCAATTCCACACGTATGTGGTCTGTTCATTTTAACTTGAAAGGAGACCTTTAAAGTAGCAACTCTCCTAGCTTGATTCATTAACATCACACAACCCCAAAGCCTCTGTCTAAACTCAGATTCCCTGCCAACTGCAGGCTAGGGAGAAGAATTTTAAACCGGGGGTTTCTTCTTGTATTTCATGCAGATGTCAGTAATGTCTTTGAGCTTTTCTAGAGAACTTGGCATCTGGCCTTACTTTAAAAGGTTGGGGGTCTGGGTGGAAACCTCTGTGGCACCCTAACACTCCAAAGTAAAGGCTGATTAAAAAAAATTGAAAGTGGTTCCCAGCTCCCCAAGGGCCTCTAGTGGCCAGTACTACCAACACATTCGGAAGTGCTCATTTCTTCTCAGTATCTCCTTCACCCAGGAAGATTCTTGTCCCTAAAAGAAGCTGCTCAAAGTAGAAGTTGAATGAAAGGATCAGACGAGTGTGTTCCTTTGTGGAGTACTGTTTGTGTGGACTCAGTGGGACCTACCTTCCCTGTCATTACTTTGAAGCCAATAAAAAAGGAACACCTGCCCTTTAATCACTACATGGGAAGTCAGGCCCTGCCCTTGGCAAATTAAGAAATAGGTCATCTTTGGGATCTTCCAGATTCAAACCTGTTTATAGCTAGCTATGTAGCCGTGGTGCGGAGGCATCGTATATAGCTGTGCTAGAGAATAATGCAGAGTAGGGTCCTCATTACTTAGTGCTTGATTACTTAAGGAGTTGACAGTAATCAATGGTTTGTGCAAAAGAATTTCTCTCTACAGACCTTTGGGGTGTTTGGTATAGGCCAGAGGGAAATCCCTGGGATTTTCTCAGTGTAGTAGCTCTAGGAAAAGCTTAAATAGCCTTGACAAGAGTGAAGCCATTTTGAGCTGACAGAAGCCATTATGAACTGTAAATGGACTAGCTGATATTGGAGAGGCAGGCTGTGCAGATGTAGTGCAACGGAATGTACCGAAGGAAGCGCATGTTCAGAAGGCTTGCGAGAACGACCAGAGCAGTTATTGTTCAACTAAGAATGGCTCACTGCAATATCCCGCTTCTGTACTCTACTTGCTTGCATACCTGCACATTGAAAAAGTAGAAAAACCTTTGGAAAATTAGACTGGGGACAGCTCAGTCTTCTCTCAAAAGGGCTGACGGTCCCTGCGCAGGAAATAAAACTTTTTCTTTTGAACTTGCCAGCGGTCCGGGTTGTTTTCTTCCTGGGAACAGACAGTAGGCTACAACATCAGACCTATTGTATCTGCTCCTCAGTGACTCAGACACAAATATGCCACCTCGGAAGAGGTCGATCTGTACCAAATGTGTAAGGCCAAGAATCATGTGTTAAGTAGGGTATTGCCTTTCCTGCTCACTGTTCATTGCAGGCACTCCTTGCCCAGTTATCTCATTAGGCAAGAGCTGATTTGGTGTAATAACCTACCTCCTAACATTTAAAGCTGGTAGAATGCTAGCCATGCATACAAAAAAAAAAAAGAGAGAGATTGCCCCAGTTTTCTCCTTTAATAGGTATGACTTTGGTCTTCAGAGACTTCCAGGAACTGTTGTTGTTGTCAGCTGCGGGGCAGTTGATGCCCTCTCCTGGCAACCCCACGTGTGCAGACTGGAACTGGGTCATGGGCTTTCCCAGGCAGTGACCTCTCAAAAGTAAACCATCAAGTCTGTCTTCCCAGGAACCTCTAGGGGCTTCGAACCACCACCTTTTCCACTGGTAGTTGAGTGCTTAACCATTCCCACTACCTAGGGTCCTCTTACTGAGAACTGGATCACTCTAATCAGCAGTTCCTTTTATGTTTAATTTTTTTCCCTTGACATATATAACATTGGGCTGCTAGACTCAAGGTTGGCAGTTCAAATCCAACCAGTCTTCAGGAGACAGTTGAGGCTCTCTAGCCCCATAAAGATTTACAGCTTTTGGAATTCTATAAGGGTCCCTCTGAGCCAGAATGGACTCTAGGCAATACGTTTGGTTTGGGTTCTTCATCTGTGTTGGCAGTTTGATGTATGTAATTCTGATTACAGTGCTATTTAGTCTTCTTTCCTGAAAGAAGCCCAGTAACACCAGGTACCCTCAGCCCTGCATCCTATTGGAAAGCTTCTTTCTTTCTAACACTGGTTTATTAGAAAATGTGACCTTATATGTAGACCTTTCACAATACATTGGGCATCCTGGGGGGAAAGTACTTGATTCCATTATACCGTATTTCAGCTCACAGATCTGACGGTCAAGCTTCTTCAGCTTCTCACAGATCTTCGTGGCAGGCATGTGCACACTCATTGGGCGAGTGACTTCACTTAGAATCCTTGTGGCTGCGTCCTTCATTGCTCCCAGATAATAGCACTGAAGGAGAATGAAGACAATTTGGTGTGTTGGGGGTGGGGGAGGAGAGTAATTTGAGTATCTAGAAATAAAAAAGGGGTTGACCTAGTTCATCATTCACCTAGTTTTCACAGTCCAGCTATTAAATTGTAACCCCTTGACTGAGACCACAGAGAACCAGTGGTTCCATGCCTGTGATCATGGTAATTAGAAGCGTCTCTACAATTCACAGGATGCTTAAAGAACACTGTGTACTGTGCCAAGCGCTGCCCTCAGTGCTGTGAAGGCATTAATTTGTTTAATTCTCGCAACAGTTCTGGGAAGTTAGTGTTATTATCACCCTCCACCACCATTTGGCACGCAAGCCACCTGAAGGTCACCCAGCGAGCACATGGGAGATACGGGGTCCAAGATCTAGTATTTGGGCTCTAGAGACCAGACCTCTTTCTTCCTTGCTATTGCTGCCTTTCAAACTACCACACTTAAAATGTTTACCTTGAAAAAAATCGAAAACCATGGCAAAAGTAAACAACTCAAGTTCTACAATGTGGCGAGCTCTCTACAATGCCAACTCAACATGTCAACATAAGGTAAAATTCCCTACTGACATTTGAGGTTCAGCCCAGAAGTACCACTACGAAAACCTCCAACTGTGAAACTCGTTTCTCCACATGTCCTCCCTCTAGGTTTATATATGTCTGAAGGTGGCCTTCCTCACTGCAAGGTGGCCCACAGAATTCTGTGCCCTTCTGTTTACAGTTTTGGCATCCTGAGGCACTCAAAGTGTGCTCCTTTGTTCTTTGGATTGGGGGAACAAAAAGAAGTCCGAAGGGTCACATTCAGGGCTATAGAACAGATGAGACGGGGTTTCCAGCTAAATTCTCACAAGACAGCCCTTGTTGCCTTCCAAGAATGAGCAGGTGCTTTGTTGTGATGGGAAAGAATTCCTTGGTGCAACTTCCCTGGCCTTTTCTTCCCCACCACTGCGTGTTGTCATTTTCTTCAATCTTCTTAATAAGAGTCAGTGGTCCTCTTGGGTCCGTCAAGAAAATCTATCAAGATAACCATCTGGCATCCCAAAAAACTGTCACCATAGCATTCTGAGCGCTTAAGTCCTGGAACGTAAGTCCAGCAGGTCTCCACAGAAGCCACTCTTTTGATTGGACCATTTGTTTTTTGTTTGGGGGTGTTTGGTGTTTTATTTGAGACCCCCTAATGGACTAAGATAAGAGAACTTGTCTGCAGCCATCCCAGAAGCATTTCTAAGCATATTTGTTCAGAATAAACCCATGCATGTATGAACTAGAACCCCAGTAGCCATACTTTTGACTTACTCTCATGTAATTTTGAGTGTATCGAAACAGGCTAATTGTGTGAAATACCATATAAACACCATTGCAACAAACTGTAAGCACCTTGTTAGTAATGTGTAGATAAATGGTTTTGATAGGCTTGAATGACTACTTGTCTTGGTAAGAGTTGAAACATCTACCCACTCTTAACTCAGAACAATCAATTCTCACTCAGAATTCAGTTTTAGAATATTGTTTAAGGAAACAATCAGTTGCCTAACAAAACAAAATTGAATATATTCTAGATGAAAACACAAATGACTGCATTTCACTGAAAGAGCAATTTCTGTTTGCTGGCTATGATGAATGTGGCGAGGCAAGCAAGTCAGTAGGAGAACAGTAAGTTCAAGAGGAGAAATGAAACTATTCGCAGTTTTCTTCAAGCACAAAAGAAAAGGAAAAGGTGAAACTTTACCATACCAGGCGGTTTTCTTTTCCTTTGGCATCCAAGCAAAAGCTGATCAATTCTTTCTCTATGATGTCCAGTGAAAAGTGAACTCCTTTGGCTATCAAGGAGTTGTAAAAGCGGTTCAAGAATTCTTCACAGACTGCAAGGAACAAAAATAGTATGTATGTAGGCACACTATAACCATTAGCACACCCACCAAATAAAACAGTTGGCATGGTTCAAGGAAGGATCCTGGGTGGTGCTGTGGACTAGATGTTGGACTGCTAATTACAAACTCGGTGGTTCAAACCCACCAGCCACTGCAATGGGAGAAAGATGAGGCTGCCTGCTCCCCAAAAGATTTAAATTTCTACTCTGTCCTACATGGTCACTATGAGTTGGAATTGACTTGATGGTAGTGGGTTTGGATTTTTCATCTTATGAGTCAATATCAACACAATAGTGATGGGTTTGTTTTGGGGGTAGTTTATAATTCAACACATAATGATGCTGTTATTGCTTGCTGCTGGTAAGTGTCCCCCAACTCATGGTGGCCCCATGCAAATAAAATCATTATTATACATAGGATAGATCACCAGGCCTTTCTTTCTAGTCTATGTGAGCCCAGGAGCTATACTGAAATCTATTCAATATCATAGTCACATGGAAGCCTCCACCAACAGATGAGTGGTGGCAATTGGCCAGGTGGGGCTAGGTATGAAGTATATTGACCAAGAATTGAATCCAGGTCTCCCACGTGGAAGGCAAGAACTCTAACACTGAACTAGCAATACTTCTTATGTGGTAGTTATATAATCGTTTGTCAATGTGAGAGGATTAAGAGTGAAGGGGAGGAGTCTAGCCTGTTAAATAGGTAATAGCCAATGGTCTTTTCCTGAGGATTCTGGGAACTCCTGTATTCATCCTTGGAGGCTGGAGACTCTCTCTCTCTCTTTCACTCTCTCTGCTGACTTCCTGTGTGACATTGCAGCTGACAAGACACGTAGAACTATGCTAGTGCCCTGAGCCGGAGAAGTCACATGGAGACCCCTGCCAGCATTGAGATGCTTACAACACCACTGGATCCACAAGACTTCCCACCCACTGGCCTGTGATCTTGTTGCATTCTGTGTCATTGCATGTGTATCGTGAGTCTGAAGAGGACTTTATAAACTGGTATCGGACATAAGGGCTAATATTGGACTTAAGGACTTGATCTGGACTGGGCTGGGGTGTTTTCTCAATATTCAATTGCTCTTGTATATAAAGCTCTTTCCTATACACATATGAGTGTCTATGAATTTATTTCTCTTGTCTACCCAGATTAATACATTTTTTTGCATCATAATAACAAATTCTAAGTAAAGGAGCCCTGGTGGCATAGTGGTTATCCATTGGACTGTGATCCACAAGGTCAGCAGTTCCAAACCATCAAGCTACTCCTGGGGAGAAAGGTGAAGCTTCCTTTTCCAGTAAGGAGTTGCAGTCTTGGAAATGCACAAGGGCAGTCCTACCTGTTCTATAGGGTGGCTGTGAGTCATCACTGAATCAGTGGTGGTGAGTTTGTTTTGTTTTCTGGTTTAATGCTAAGTACCTGGTTACAGGCCTGTAGTTATTAACTCAGTTTGGGGCCTTGGATACAATTAACCTTAATATTAGGTTACTTAACCTTATATTAAACCACCTTACCAGGCAATCCATCAAGATATGGAACCAAGTTGCACTTATAATAAAAATAAATAAATATAAAGTTTCCACAAAATTTGGCTCACCCTAGAAGAAAATATAACACTTTAGAAGATATGATATTTGGGGCAATGTATTTTTAAGCCCAGAAAAGAATCTGAACAAATTATCGTGAATGAAACGTCTTCATAAATGAGCTTAAAGGGAAATACCAATTCAAATAGCCATATTCAAGCTCAGAATCTAGTGGAAGAGGTGGCACTCAGAAGAGGTACATGAAATGAGTCTCAACAAATGTGGCTAACATTTGCTGGGTTCTTGCATGCGCTGCAACTTTTCTGAGCAGTTTATATATATTATATATATAACTCATTCAACGACCATTCCAAACGTATGAAGTCAATACAGATGATGGAAGTGAGTCCAAGAGTGCACAATTAACTTCCCTGATAGTTGGTAGAGAGGGAATTAAGTCACCGGGTGGCCTGGCTTATCCCATAGATTATCTAGCAATAAAAAGATCCATGGGGTTTTTTTTTCACATTTCTTTTCCAAATAGGAGACAAGCGTTGGCTCAGCCAAGCCAAGAAGGAAGCCAAAGCTAGAAGTGGCCCTAATATCACCAAGGAGTGTCTGGGTGACACCAGTGGATAAGTGGGCAACTACTAACTGCAAGGTGCGTGGTCCCAGCCTACCCAGAGATGTCTCAGAAGGAAGTCCTAGTGACCTACATTTGAAAAAGCACAGTTACTGAAGCCCATGACACACATGGGCTCTCATGAGTTGGACTGGACTGGATGGCAATTGCCTGGTAATATTAGAAAAAGCATTCTGGAAAGCACAGTAGGGAAGAGTGAGGCGTGTTTAGGCTCTTGGTTCTCTATCTTTACTCAGTGTGGACTATTAACTAAAACCAAGTAACGAGCTTTATCTTCCATATCCCAATAATCAGCTGTCTTATATGTCTAATAATTGAAGCAAGACTTGTAATTCACTTGAATAACAAATAAAGCACCTACAGAAATAGAAGTTATGTTCACTTGCTTGTTAGGAGAGTCAATTGAAAAAGATTCATTGAGCTCTTTTTTTTTTCACTTTTACTATCCAGCAAGCACTTTCTGTGTGCAAAGCACTATGGGAAAACTATGAAAGCATGAACTTCAGGGAAAAGGAAACACTCCAGAAAGGAGGATTGGGTTGTGGGAAGTAATGATGTAAGGAGAACATGTAAAACATGACCACGTCTGACTAAAGATCAACTCTATATGTGGGCCTATCTGAGAAGGAGTGCTGGTGTCAAAGTGAGTTACAAGTTGGACTGTTCACCACAAGGTCAGTGGTTTCAACCTACCAGGGGAAAGATGAGGCTGTCCCTCCAGTAAAGATTGACTGCCTTGAAAACCCACAGGGTTCCCATGGGGTTCCTATGATCCAGAATTGACTTGACGGCAGCAGTGGGTTTTAGTTTGGGTTATATAAAAAAATAAAGGAGCCATGGTGGTGAAATGGGTTAAGCTCTCCACTCCTAATAGAAAGGTCTGTGCAGTAGAAAAGTGGCTGAAGGGAGACACCGGTCAGTGTAAGACATGAAAAAAAATTCATAAATGATCAAGGGTTCATGAAGGAGGGAGGGTGGGGGAGGGAAGGAAAAATGAGGAGCTGATACCAAGAGCTCAAGCAAAAAGAAAATGTTTTGAAAATGAGGATGGCAACAATGTATAAATGTGCTTGACACAATGGATGCATGTGTGGATTGTGATAAGAGCTGTAAAAGCCCCCGAAAAAATGATTAAAAAAAAAGATTAACATCGTGCTGGAGGTTCTAGCTAACAATATAAAGCAAAGAAAGGACATCAAAGGTATTCGTCTAGGGAAGGAAGAAGTGAAACTATCGTTATTCACAGATGATATGAGTTTATATATGGAAAATCCTAAAAGTTCCAGGGGAGGAGTACCAGAAGCAATAGAGGTATATGGCAGAGAAGCAGGTTACAAGATCAACAAACAGAAGCCTATTGCACTACTGTACACATCGGACAAGGCCACAGAAGAGGGGATCAAAAAAGGGTACCTTTCACAACAGCCAAACACAAATTGAAATATCTAGGGATATACCTGAAAAAAAAACCAAAAGACCTATACGAGGAAAACTACCAAACACTATTAAAAGAAACCAAGGGTGACCTCAACAAATGGAAGGAGATCCCATGCTCATGGATCGGTAGACTCAATATTGTAAAGATGTCAATTCTACCCAAGACACTATATAAGTTCAATGCAATCCTGATCCAAATTCCGGCATCTTTCTTCAAAGAGTTGTAAAAACAGATTACCAACTTCATAGAGAGGGAAGAAATGGAGAATTAGCAGAGAATTCCTCAAGAAGGACAAAGTGGGAGGGCTTGCTTTACCCGACTTTAGCACCTACTCTACAGCCACAGTGGTCCAAACAGTGTGGTATTGGTATAATGATAGATATTCAGAGCAATGGAAAAGGATTGAAAACCCAGAAATAAAGCCATCAGCATACAGACAACTAATCTTTGATGAAGGCCCAAAAAATATTAAATGGGAAGCGGATGCCCTCTTCAATTTGTGATGCTGGAAAAATGGATATGTAGCTGCAGAAAAATGAAACAAGACCCTTACCTCACTCCATACACAAGAATAAACTCAAGGTGGATCACAGACCGTACCATATGAGATACATATGGTAGCCCACTAAAAAGGAGATGAGGGGGAAAAAAAGACATGGGTAGCCGGGGAACAGGGCACTAACCCACACAGGGGGAGGGTGTTGATTATGTCTCTACAGGGAAAGAGGGACCAGACTTCAACCCGGAGCTCCAAGACAAGAACGCAACACACTGACATGAAGCAAGGAACCAATACAGAGGCCTGAGGGGCCAGGCCCCATTACCAACTAAGTGGACAGCACCACCCTACCCCCAGAAGAATTCACTTCAGAGGACAGCACTGAAACTACAACTGAAGGAGAGGGACTTGTCCGATCAGAGCACACAGGAGCCAACAAGGGGGAAGGGGAAAAAAAGAGTGAAGCACATCCTGGCTCACCAAGCCCTGAGGACAATGTTTCTGCTCAGAGCAGCAATGCACAGAAACGACCACAGGGCCAGCCTCACCACGGACAGTGTTCCTCGTTGACCCATAGCACCATGGGGGACAACACTACAGACACATGGTGGAAGCCAGCCTCTGGGGGCATGCAGCAGAACAGCGGAGTGGGTGGGGGGGCAGAGCTATGAAGTCCCCAGGGATAGACGTGAGGCCAGGGCATGGCACCCGATCAGACTCGACTGGAAAGCACTCATAAAGGACAACAAATAAACCCTGAACTATTTCTAGGAGTTGTTGTTGTTGTAGCTATTGTTTTATTTTCTATTGTTGCTACATTGTACTCGGTCGTGTGATGGTCTATATTGTTGTCGCTGCATGTCTACCTGGAAGGGACAG